GGTCCCTGGCGTTAATACACGCGCACCCTCTCGGTCCCTGGCGTTAATACACGCGCACCCTCTCGGTCCCTGGCGTTGATACACACGCACCCTCTCGGTCCCTGGCGTTAATACACGCGCACCCTCTCGGTCCCTGGCCCCGCTCTGCAGGGGGAGCCGGCTCTCAGGGTCTGGGCCGTGGGAAGGGGCTCCGCACGCTCCTCCTGGGACCCGCCCGATGGGTGGAGGCGGGAGGGTGTGCTGGGTGGCGGGGCACCGTGGCAGGGAGCCTGGGGCGGGCTGGCTGGCGAGTCGGGGAGCGGCAGCTGGCTGGGACTGAAGAGGTTTGGAGAACCTAAGCTGGCTTCGTTGGCAGTTTCCTAAAATACGGCTCTCGGCTGCCCTCCTCTCCCGTCTGTCCCAGGTGGCCGGTGTGGGCGAAGGACAGCGGGGCCTCTGCGGTGCCAGCTCAGCCCGGCCCCGGGGTGGGGCCGAGGTCTCACCCCCTGAACCTGCGCAGCCACAGGCGCAGCGTCGCAAAGAGCCCGGCCAGTGCGGCTGATCGATGACTCTCTCTCATCGAGGTTTCTGACTCTCATCTCTCTCCCTTCCTCTCCGTACAAAATCAATAAAAATACAGTTATTAAAAAAAAAAGAAAGAAAGAAAGAAAGAAAGAAAGGCTGAGAACCACTGCCCTCGAGGGTATTCGGGGTGCTTTGTGCGGGCGATGTGGCCTTGCTGTGTCTCTAACCTCGCCGGCTGCTGTTTCCTCCGGATGCCCCACCTGTCCCATCAGAGCACAGGGTCCCTCCCTTCTTCCCGCCTCCTCCCCTGCCCAGCTCCACGCCCTTTTGGTTCAGAAGCTTCTGTGGAAGGGGGGCTTCCCATCCTGAGGCTCCTGGCTCGCCCCTCCCTCCGAGCCCCCTCCCTCCCCCCTGCCCCGGTGAGGATGCCTGGCGGAGAGGGGAGGGCACTCCAGACTCAGGGCGCCCAGCTGCCCCAGGATTGGGCAGGAAGGCCCCCAGCCTTCCAGTCCTGGCAGCAGTGGCCTGAGATGTGGCGGCCCCTGCAGGCAGAGGCGGGAGCTGCAGCATCTGTGAGGCAAGGACGGGTGGGGCTGGGACACAGCCTCTCCAGCCGAGAGACCACCACGTCCGTCCATTCCTTAAAGCTCCAGCATTCGGTAGCCACCCCCCCTCCCGCCCCCCATCTGCGGGTTGCCCCCCATCACGCCACCCTGCTCCGCCCTGGCTGGGGTGTCTGTCACCCCGTGGTGTCGCGTGTCCGTGCTGTTTGTTCACGTAGTGAGTGTCTCGTTATCACACCCACCGTCACAGGATCACGCTGCTTCTGTCCAAAGAACCCTTACCGTACCTCCTGATGGCTCCAGAGCACAGCGTTGTGGTGATGTCTCTCTGACTGTGCCTAATGTGTGAATGAAACTGTCACAGGCGGTGTGCGTGCATCCACTGGAGGTCTTGGGTCATGCGCCCCGCGTAGAAGGGGGGGTCCACTTTGTTTTCAATATAATAATAAGAAAGAAGCAGGGCGACTGAGTTGGAGCATATCGTGAATGTTTACTTGTAAGTGCTTTTGACACCCACACAGCGGTGTGACTGTGCAATTCACAAGGTAACCAATTAAGACACAAAACCAACCACAGAGCGCGGAGGGCTGGAAGCGGGGCGCCTGCTTAAAGCGGTTGGTGAGTCTCGTTTTCTAGCCCACCCGTGTTCTTCCGGATTGTGTGTTAGCCTCGTGTGAGAGAAGATCAAGACTTGGCATCCGAGGAGGCTGTTGATGATGGTGGCATCCCAGCGTGGGCCTGGCCACGGGGTCTCCATGCGTCTCTCTCCTGAGGTCGTCCTCCGTGGGAAGCATATGCCTGAAAGCGCTTTCTGAGTGGGATAGAGAGACCCCTGCGGTCAAGGTCGCGGACTTGGTCCCTGTGTGGGTCAGTGAGCTGTCGTCTGCATGCTGCCCCCTGCTGGTCATCACAGGAATGGGCGACATTGGTCTGGAATAGCCTTTTTCAAACCGTGGTCTGGGGGTCCCCGACAGATTAGGAGGTGTACATGATCAAAATTATTCTCATCATCATCATAAGACGTTTGGTCTCATTGCCTTTCAAATGTGAAGAGTTGATTGATACGGTTCTAGGTGCCACCTTAGAACTAATCTTTAAGAAACAACCAGCTGCTGAGTTTCAGTGCAGTGGGCAAGATTAGCCACAATTATCTGGAAACACACCTCCCTTCCCAACCTTGGTACGTATGTGTGAGAGTCTGGATTTCTTTCATGCACTTGAATAAAACCACATAGCGCAAAAGATTGGATGGAAAACCAGATGTGAGCATCCAGCTGGTTTTTGTAAGCCACCCATTACACAGATTTGTAAAAACGTAAAACAGTACTAATTATCTCACTAAGCATTTTTGTTTTGAGAATATAGTTATTTTTTTTTAAAAAAAATATGTGAACACCTAATGGGTTTATTATTTTTATTTTTATTTTTTTAAAATATATTTTATTGATTTTTTACAGAGAGGAAGGGAGAGGGACAGAGAACCAGAAACATCGATGAGAGAGAACCATCGATCAGCTGCCTCCTGCACACCTCCTACCGGGGATGTGCCTGCAACCAAGGTACATGCCCATGCCCTTGACTGGAATCGAACCTGGGACCCTTCAGTCCGCAGACCAATGCTCTACCACTGAGCCAAACCGGTTTCGGCTATTTTTTTTTTTTTTTAATTCAAAAGCATAAAGAACTTTTTTTTTATATATTTTTTTTATTGATTTCAGAGAGGAAGGGAGAGGGAGAGATAGAAACATCAATGATGAGAGAGAATATTGAATCGAACCCGGGACCCTTCAGTCTGTAGGACAATGCTCTATCCACTGAGCTAAACCAGCTAAGGTGGTTTATTATTTTTAATTAATGTTAAGTGTTTTCTCTGTTTAATATCTAATATTAAAAATATCAATAGATATAACCCATACCACTTGGAGTCTTCAGAATTTTTATAACAATTTAATGAGATGATAATTCTCATACCATAAAATTCACACTTTTAAAAGGTGAATTCAGTGGTTTTCGTGTATTCCACAAAGTAGTGCAACCATCACCACTAACTCCAGATCATTTTCATCAGAAAGAAACCCCGAACCCCCTAGCAGTCATTCCCCACTCCTTTCCCCACTCCTGCACCCCAGTCCTGACAATTACTAATCTGCTTTCTGTGTCTAGATTTGCCTATTCTGAATATTTCATATAAACAGAACCATACAATATGTAGTAATCTTTTGTGTCTGGCTTCTTTGACTTAGATTAATGTTTTCAAGGTTTATCCGTGTTATGGCCAAATAGTATTCCATCTATCTATCTATATATATATGTGTGTGTGTGTGTGTGTATGTGTATATATATATATATATATATATATATATATATATATAAAAGGCTAAGTGATTGGACGACTGGCCGGCAGGTATGATGCATGCTGACCACCAGGGGGCAGACACTCAATGCAGGAGCTACTGAGCGACAGCAACTTTGCAGAATGCCCTCTCACAGTCCTGGACCTCTCGGGGGATGTTGGACTGCCGATTTCTGCCCGTTCCCCACAGGCCAGGCCGAGGGACCCCACCTGCCGGGGGGACCCTGCTCACTCCACAGACGCCCTTTGAGCCCAGCGCTGTCGCAGGTGCAGCCGGCTGGGAGGGACTGTGGGAGGTTGGCTCCAGGGAGTGTCCAGCCCTTCTCGCCCAGTCCCGCCCCACCCTGCCCATCTACCTTCTAATTAATTTCCTTTCAACATGCACGAACCCATGCTCCGGGCCTCTAGTCGTATGATAAGCCACGTTTTATTATTTTATCAGTTGATGGGCCGTTGAATTGGGGCCACTCTTCGGCTCTTTTACACAATGCTGCTGTGGGCGTTCAAGCACAAGGTTTTGTGTGGATGTATTTTTCCGTTCTCTTGGGCACATCCCTAGAAGTAGTTTCTGGGTCAGATGGTAGCTCTGTTTAGCATTTGAGGAACTGCCAAGACTAATTTCCAGCCTCAGTAATTTTTCAGCGTGTAAGGAAAGAAGTCCTGTGACCCTGGCTGGTTTGGCTCGGTGGACAGAGCCTCGGCCTGCGGACTGAAGGGTCCCGGGTTCAATCCCGGTCAAGGGCACGTCCCTGTGTTGCAGGCTTGGTCCCTGGCCCTGTGAGAGGGCACCTGCAGGAGGCAGCCCATCAGTGTGTCTTTCTCACATCACATCCGTGTTTAAAAAGAGGAAGGAGCCTGTGTGTGAGCGCCAGGGATTGGACAGGGGAGCGCGGGCAACTCAGGCCAGGCTCTCGTCTCTGTCCTGGGGCTGAGTCCCTCCAAACCGTCTCTCCTCTGTGCTCCTTTCCCCTCTGAGCCGTCCTGGGTGGCAGAGAGAGAGCCAGCACGCCCGGCTGCGGAAGTTAAGCCGCCAGGGAGTCCTGGGGCAGGGTCTGGTCTCCGCAGATTTTGAGGGTGCCCTCTGCACGGTGCCCCCCGCCGCTGTGCAGGGAGCCAGCCCGGCCGCAGCTGCCTCCCTCTCCTCCTTCCCGCTCTGGCACCGGGTCCGCTGGCTGAGCCGAGTCTCGTGGGGAGCCGCGTCTGTGAGGCCTCGTCAGCAGAGCCGAGGAAAGCAGCTGGCTGCAGCCGCCCCCGGGCCTGGCCGCTGCTCCGGAGCCCTCCCCGGAGAGGGGCTGCCTGCCGTAGCCCCCCACCTCGGCCAGGCCCCTCCTGCGGGGCGATGCGCGGGGAGGGGGCAGGGACCGGCCCCCTCCCCGCCCCCAGGGGTTTGCCGGCCTTTGAGAGAGGAGTCTGGGGGGAACAGAGTTTGGCTGGAGGAGTGATTCTGATGGTGAGGCTCCGGGTGCCGGGGCAGCGTGCGGGGATAGGTTGGCCATGCCGACGTGTGGAGCCCGTGGGGCCTGCTGCCACCTGCACCCCGGCCAGTGACACGCTCTTTCCTTCTGCTCTTCTCCCCCCAGATGTGACTCCCCGCGCTGGCCGGGGCTCCGAGCATGGCCGACACCATCTTCGGCAGCGGCGGCCCCCAGTGGGTTTGCCCCAACGACCGGCAGCTCGCCCTGCGAGCCAAGTGAGTGCCTTCCCTTCCTTCGCCATCGCGGGCCCCTCCTCTCTTTGGCAAGATTCAGACCCAGGGCCCAGAGAGAGAGAGGGGTTTGGAGACAGGTGCCTCCAGAATGGACACCAGGCTCCATGCCCTGAGGGGGGCCCTGAGCAGCCATTCACTCTGTAACCACCAGGGGGATTTCTCTCCGTTTCTCAGGCGGGGAGAGTGCGCGGGGCCCTGGCCCGAGGCACGTACCTGGTGCCTGGCAGCTCAGGGCCACACCGGACCCTCCTGACGCCTGCACCCGTGTTCTCCGTCACTGCAGGCTGCAGGGAGCCAGGCCCTTCCCCACCTTCTCCGGGAAGAGACGTCCCTCACTGCGTCTTCCCCCTGAGCCCCGGGAGGCGGGAGGCCCCTCTGTAGCCGAGCGCCCGGCACCTTCTGATCCTGGAGGGGTGGGCTGTTAGAGGGGAAGATGGAGGAGGGGCTGCTGCACGGGCAAAGGCCCTGGGGTGAAAGGAGCAAGAGGAGGGCCTAACAGGAAGCCAGCGTTGAGGGGAACGCAGGGCGTGAGTGATGCGGTGAAGGGGGCAAAAGGAAGGTGGAGAGGCGGGCAGAGGCCTGAGTGAAGGAGGAGCCGAATGAGGAGTGAGTGAGGAGCCAAAACACACACCCAGCCAGCCGCGGGCGCCCGGCTCCTCCCGCTCCTGTCCCTCCCAGTCCCCGCGGTGCCTGTCCGTCCCCGGGGTCCTGGTTTTCCTGTTGCCTCTCCTCCTGGCGACCCCTCAGCTCTGTGCTGTCCCGGCTGCCTCTGCCCGCTGTTCCCCTTCGGCTCAAGATGGGCTCACAGATGCCCCTCCCGCCTCCCTGTTTCCCGTCTCTCCAGGGAGCGGGGGTCCCTGGTGTCGGATCGGCCTAAGCGTCCCCTTCATCTGTCAAACTGTGCCAATTACCAGAGAACAGCATTTCCCAAATGGGACCGAGTTCAAAAAATAAAATAAAATTTGCAATTAGATGTGAGGAGCCTGCAGGGACCCAGAGCCCACACATCAAAGGGGGAGAGAAATTAATCCGAAACGCCCGGGAAGAGCCGAGTCCTGCCTGACCTGCGGGAACCGTTGCACAGCCGTTAATTTGTCCCTCTCCCCGGGCGGCTGAGCCCTCAGGGCAGGTACCAGGAGGAAGCCAGCCCTCTCCCTCTCTCCTGATGCCAGGCAAGCCGTGTCTGCCGGCGGGGGAAGAGGAGCTGGGGAGCCGTGCCCTGGGGCCAGGGCCCAGGGTGACCCCTGGCCACTCCGCCGGCATTTCCATCGGTTCTTCCTGACCTTGTCCTGCGCTCAGCAGCAGCCAGAGCTGTAGTGGCACCTTTGAGAGGAGCAGATGCTTTTATCTTCTCCTGGGGTGTGCTGCCTTATGCCAGGCTCCTGCTAATGCCGGGCTCTGGTGACGCCGGGCTCCTGCTAACGCCGGGCTCCTGCTAACGCCGGGCTCCGGTAACGCCGGGCTCCGGTAACGCCGGGCTCCTGCTAACGCCGGGCTCCTGGTAATGCCAGACTCCGTAAAGGCCTGGCACAAACCCCCACACCCTGGCACTGAGCTGAGGGTCCCTCTGGGAAGCCTTTCCTAGCTCTCGCTCGGTCTGTCCTTCTGTCCTCAGCCACCGATGTGAGCCCCGATGGTGTGCCTGGCACTGGGTGCACAGCAGCAGACAAGACCACGTGGTCCCTTGCCTTCAGGCGCTAATGGAGGGCGTGAGCCCTGTGCACACACTCCCCCAGGTGCTGTGACAGTGCGGGTGGGCGTGGGGGTGAGGGTGCTGGCTTCCTCTGGGGATTGGAGGACTCCCCTGAGGCTGTGACACCTGTGCTGACCCGGGAGGGGGTGGGCTGTTAGATGGAAGGTGGGGGAGGGGCTTCTAGCAGAAGGACTGGCATGTGCAAAGGCCCTGGGGTGAAAGGAGCAGGAAGAGGGCCTCGCGGAGGCCCGCGGTGAGGGGCACGCAGAGCATGAGTGAGGCGGTGAAGGGGTAGAAGGAAGGTGGAGAGGCGGGCAGGGGCCTGGCGGGGCAGGGCCTGGTCCCCCAGAGGCTCAGTTCCGGAGGGGAGAAGGAGGGTCTCAACTTGCCTCAATCTAGTATTTCAGCCTCTAATTGCACATTTTCTTGAACTCGGTCTCATTTGGGAAATGCTGCTCTGGTAACTGACACAGTTTGACAGATGAAGCTTAGGCTTATCTGACACCAGGGGGACCCCCCCCCCCAACTCCCTGGAGCTACGCCCAGGCCTTATGGAAACTGAGAGCAGACATGTGACCCTCTTGGAGGAGGTCAGGAAAAGCCTCCTGGTGAAGACAGAAGCATGGGGGTGCACCGCAGGAAGGGGGCTCAGCAAGAGGGGACGCTTCCTGGGTGCAGGGCACAGCGTGGGCCAAGGCCTGGCGACGGCGTGCAGCCCGGGGCCCGGGCAGCGGGGGGCGGTGCTGCTCATGCTTGCCATGTGAGGCGGGAGCGGGCGGTGCTGCTCATGCTCGCCATGTGAGGCGGGGGCTGGGCTGGGGCACCCTCCGGGGTCGTACCACTGGGGGTGCACCCTGAGTGGCCTCCCTTGGCTCTGAGGAGGGCACCTCGGGGGACACGGTGCTCAGTGGCAGCCGTGCCCATAGTGGGAACAGGGCTGAGGGGACAGGGCTAGGGAGCGGGCAGGAATCAATGAGAACATAAATGGGGTTCGTGGGTGAGCAGATGGAGATGGGGAAGGAGGTCAGAAGGTGCCCTGGGGGGGAGTAGGGCAGGGCTGTTGGGAGCCGCCAGATGCTGGACGGGAGCTCCCCTGGCCAGGAGCTCCCCTGGCCAGGAGGCCTGCCGACTCCTGACGTGCCTTTAGAAAGTTCGAGGCATCTAACTGTGCCCTGCCCCTTCCCTCTCTGAGAAATGGGGAGGCTGCTTTGCAGGCTGACAGGGGGTCCAGTGGGGGGTGAGGGGTCTGCAGGGCCTCGGGCTGGCACTGGGCCCGGGAGGAGCTGGGTAGGAGCTGGGACAGGTGGCGGTGCAGGTGCCCTCCCTCCTCTGACTAGCCCTGTTCCCCTTGTTTACACGCCTCCTGACACCCGCCTGCAGCCCACCGGCAGCGTGACCCCAGCACCCGTGAGCCTGGCATCAGCAAATGTGCGTGGAATGGACAGCGCCTGTCACTTTAAATTAATAGACGTTTGTGCTGTTGATCGGGCGCCTGCCTCCCCAGCACGCTCTCGTCTTCATGGCCGTGACTTTGCCGTCCTGTCCATCTCTGTTCCCAGCATCGGAGGAGAGGCTGGGACCCCGGCAGGGCGCAGGGGGGTGGGCCTGTGTGGCCACCCTCTCCTCTCCCCACCCAGCAAAACAGGAAGGGCTGCTGTCCTTGCCCTCAGCCTTGGCCACAGCCACAGGCGGTGTCATCGCAGCCAGTGGAGTGGCAACCGCTGAGCCCCTGAGCCAGGCCCCGGCCACCTCTCCTCTCTTGCAGCTCCATGACCCTCCTGCCCTTGAACCCTGGATTTATTTATTTTTTTATAATATATTTTATTGATTTTCTACAGAGGGGAAGGGAGAGATACAGAGAGCCAGAAACATCGATGAGAGAGAAACATCGAACAGCTGCCTCCTGCGCACCCCCCACTGGGGATGTGCCCGAAACCAATGTACATGCCCTTCACCGGAATCGAACCTGTGACCCTTCAGTCCGCAGGCCGACGCTCTATCCACTGAGCCAAACTGGTTTCGGCTGAACCCTGAATTTTCAAAACTGTTAATCTCCTTTTATCCTCAAGGTTCATGCTAAACCTAGTTACATTCTTCCCTATTCCTTACTAAGCACCATCTCACTTTCTTCTGTGACGTAGATCTAGGTTTTATTCTTCTGTGGGTCACCCCCTAAGCCCCTCCCTCAACACCTCACACACCATGGCCGTGGCCGTGGCCGTGGCGTGGCCGTGGCCTTCTCCATGCGTACAGCGGGCGCGTCCGTGCTCCCGCCTCCCAGAGCGGGGACTGGCGGCAGAGCCGGCACCTGGAGCCCGGCGGCTCCCGTTGCCCAGCCCCTGGCGCCTGTGGCCACGGCGGGGTGCGGGTTTGCACTGGCGTGGCCTCAGGCCTGCGTTGTTCTCTCCCGAGGCTGCAGACGGGCTGGTCTGTGCACACCTACCAGACGGAGAAGCAGAGGAAGAGCCAGTGCCTCAGCCCGGCCGAGGTGGAGGCCATCCTGCAGGTCATCCAGAGGGCCGAGCGGCTGGACGTCCTGGAGCAGCAGAGGATCGGGTGAGGGCCACGAGGGCCGGGCCAGAGCTGCCCGGGGAGAGGGGGCAGGGTGCTCAGTGCAGCCCGGGGAGAGGCAGGCTGGGTGCTCGGTGCAGCCCGGGGAGAGGGGGCAGGGTGCTCGGTGCAGCCCGGGGAGAGGGGGCAGGATGCTCAGTGCAGCCCGGGGAGAGAGGACAGGGTGCTCGGTGCAGCCCGGGGAGAAGGGGCAGGGTGCTCCGTGCAGCCCGGGGAGAGGGGGCAGGGTGCTCGGTGCAGCCCGGGGAGAGGGGGCTGGGTGCTCGGTGCAGCCCGGGGAGAGGGGGCAGGGTGCTCGGTGCAGCCCGGGGAGAGGGGGCAGGGTGCTCGGTGCAGCCCGGGGAGAGGGGGCAGGGTGCTCGGTGCAGCCTGGGGAGAGGGGGCTGGGTGCTCGGTGCAGCCCGGGGAGAGGGGGCAGGGTGCTCGGTGCAGCCTGGGGAGAGGGGGCTGGGTGCTCGGTGCAGCCCGGGGAGAGGGGGCAGGTTGCTCGGTGCAGCCCGGGGAGAGGGGGCAGGGTGCTCGGTGCAGCCCGGGGAGAGGGGGCAGGGTGCTCCGTGCAGCCAAGGGAGAGGAGGCTGGGTACTCAGTTCCAGACCAGGGCGGCCGGTCCGGCCCCCTCTGGGAGCCTTGGGTCTGGCCGGGGCCCAGAATGGCCCAGGAGGCAGTGCCTCGGGTTCACTGTGTCAGAAGGAGGAGGTGGTGCACCCCGTGTGTTGCGTGAGTTAGGGGGCACGAGGTCGTACTGGCAGGGGGTCCCCGAGAACAAGCGGGTCAGGCAGGGCCGATGCCGGCTTTGCTAGAGGCCTGTAGGGCACGGGGAGGAGGTCAGGAGTGCTTGCTGGAGGGCAAGGGGAGAGGCAGCCTCCGCCCAGCCTGCTCTCCCCGGCTCCAGGCAGAGTCTGGGAGCAGATGGAGTTGCCGTTCACACTCAGGCTCCACCTCTTAAGAGCTGTGTGACCCTGGCAGGTGACTGCCCATCGCTGAACCTCAGTCTCCCCATCTGTAAAATGGGGGGAAATAGCATCCTCCTCACTGTGGGGTGTGGAGGGCATGACCGAGAGAAGACAGTGTAGCCATACTCTGTCCTTCATTCATTCAAGAATGTTCGCTGCGTGTCCACCGGGCACTGGCGTCGCTACTGCCAGCAAAACAGAAGTGTCTGCCAGTTCCCAGGCCGCAGCATTGCTTATAGGTTGTCAGGGAACGGGGCACAGTGGGCGAGGGCTGTGGCACCCCGAGGAGGGCACCTTCCCCAGGCTCGGGGTTCCGGAAGGCTCCTGGGCACTCAGCATCAGAGGTTCAAAGTCGGGCTCTTTTTCTCTCTTTCTCCCCCTGCTTCACCCGCCCAGTCGCTCAAACCAGAGGCCTCGTGCCGTCCTGGGTCTCTCTCACCTCCCCTCACCCCCAGGCCATCGGAGGCTGCCTCTGAAACACAGCCCGTCCCAGTCTCCATCCCCCTTCCCCGGACCCCGCCACCTGCTGCTGGCTTCCTCACCCCCACGCCCCCCTGAGATCCTGAGTGAGCTTTTTAAAATCACTCCTCTGCTTAAAACTCCTCCGTGGCTTCACGTTGATCCGAGAGAATAATCCAGACTCCGTGCTGTGACCGGAAGAACCATGTAATCCGCCGTCCTCGCCCCTCACGCCTGCTGGGAGCACAGCCACCCGGGCCTCTGGCCGTCCTGCCGCCCCGCCCCTCCTCCCGGGAACGCTCCTGCTCCCTCTGCCTCGGCTTCCCCTCCCCGGCTCTCCGCACGCTGTGGTCCTCGTCCTCCTCAGCTCTCAGCTCGGATGTCCGGAGAGAGGCCCCCATCATCACCGCTAGCATGCCCCTGGCCCGCCCTCGGTGTCTCCCTCCCCCGTCGACTCACTCCACTTCCCCTCGGAAGGCAGTGAGTTCTTCTTTTCCTTGTGTCTGAACTTTCTCCCTTTAGTATTATTTTTAAAATATATTTTATTGATTTTTTACAGAGAGAAAGGGAGAGAGATAGAGAGTTAGAAACATCAATGAGAGAGAAACATCGATCAGCTGCCTCCTGCACCTCCTCTCCGCCCACCCCCCACCCCGGAGATGTGCCCGCAACCAAGATACATGCCCTTGACCAGAATCGAACCCGGGACCCTTCAGTCCGCAGGCCAACGCCCCATCCACTGAGCCAAACCGGTTTCAGCTGGGCGTTCTCCCTTTATTGAGAATATGTTCCGTGAGAGCAGGGACCAGGTCTGCCTCTGGCCGGTTTGCTGCCATGTTCCCAGCACCCAGCACCTCCTAGATCACATGTGTCAAACACAAGGCCCGCGGGCCAAATCCGTCCCGCCAGGCCTTGCAATGTGGCCCGCACCGCGCTGTCATCACTGCACTCCGCTGCGTTTCCATCACAATGACAGTTTATGACTGTTCAGTAAACCAATCGGCCCGCGATTTAGGCTGGATTTTAGATTTTGGCCCCTTCTCTGATTGAGTTTGACACCCCTATCCTAGATGCTCAGTTAGTATTGGGAGTGAGTGAATGAGGAGGGGTTCCAGCCAGGAGAGAGGGGAGGCAGGGACCAGGGTCCCGGTGAGGGCAGCACGGGAGGCGTGTGGGTGGGGCCTGAGGCCGCTGGGCCCGGGCAGAGTCGGGGTGGAGCCGGGGCGCGCTGCCATCGGACCGTGTCCTGTGCTGCAGGCGGCTGGTGGAGCGGCTGGACACCATGAGGCGCAACGTGATGGGGAACGGCCTGTCGCAGTGCCTGCTGTGCGGGGAGGTGCTGGGCTACCTGCGCAGCTCGTCCGTGTTCTGCAAGGACTGCAGGAAGGTGAGGCCCTGCCCGGCCTGGGCCCGTTCCGGTGCTGGCCCAGTGCTGTGGCTTTGCATCCCGGCTCCCAGGAGTGTGTGTGTGTGTGTGTGTGTGTGTGGTGTGTGTGTGCTGGTCCAGCTCTGTGGCTTTGCATCCAAGGAGTGTGGGTGTGGGTGTGTGCCAGTGCCGGTATGTGCATGTGTGTACATGTGTGTGAGAATGAGTTTGTGTGTGTGCATGTGTGTGTGTGTAGGCAGATGGCATCCTATGCTTCTTGGCGGGAGGGATTGGAGCCTGCATCAGAGGGCCTGGGTTCTAGGGCCAGCCCTGGGGAGTGGGCCTCTGGGCCTCGCAGGCCCAGGTGTGGCTGCGGCTCCCCCACTGGCCACCTGACCTCAGAAAACCTGTTTAATCACATGTTGTTTCATTGTCCTGATCTGTAAAACACGGATAATCACACGACGTGCCTTATAGAGTTATGGGGATTAAACGCTACATGCAAAACTCCTAAAACCTTGTCTGGCACATCAAGCACTCAGTAAGCATTATTGGTTTTTATCAAGTAAACACAACCCTCCTCCGAGCCAAATCGTACGCTCGGATTGCACTTCCCGTCCTGCCGGTCTGCCCTTCCAGCCGGCGGTGGGCTAACTCCGGGTCCGGGGGATCCAGAGGACACGTGTCCGCAACGGTCCTTTCCCTCGGGTCCTGACGGTCAGAGCGATGCTGACCGTAGCGGGGACCGAGGTTTCCAGGACCAAGAGCAATCGGGAGGGCTGCCTGGAGGCGCTGGCCCTGCGGCCTTCCGAGAGGCCGGGAGTAGAGGGAAGGGAGAGCAGCAGGGAGAGCCGTGGAGCTGGAGATGTGAGGACGCAGGCCCGGGGGCCGGGAGAAGTGGCTGGAAGCAGCAGCAGCACCGGACGTGACGTCCTGTTTGACTTGGGAGCAGGGGGAGCTGGGCGGAGGGAGGCCAGGCCGTGGGGCCTGGAAGACATGCAGAGCGGAGCTCTCTGTGGAGATGGCCTGTGAGAGGGGAGAGCCCTCTGAGCCCTGTTTGAGGGGAGAGCCGCGCTGCATCTGAGCAGAGGAGGCAGGTCCCGGGCCCCAGGGCTCCTGGGAGAGGGTCAGAGATGTCACCCAGACACCCTGCGGCCGTCTGCCAGGCCCGCGTCTCTGAGAACCCTGGTCTGCAAACTGCGGCTCGCGAGCCACATGCAGCTCTTCGGCCCCTTGAGTGCGGCTCTTCCACAAAATACCACGGCCCGGGCGAGTCTATGTTGAAGACGTGGCGTTAGAAGGAGTTTAAGTTTAAAAAATGTGGCTCTCCAAAGAAATGTCAGTCGTTGCACTGTTGATATTTGGCTCTGTGGACAAACGAGTTTGCCGAACACTGACTTAGGAGAATCAGGAGCGGCCCCGGCCAAGCTTTAGCCCTTACAGGGGCGCTGGCGTCCGGGAGGGACGGACCCGGCCATCCATTCTCCCATCCAACAAATATGCCCCGACGCCTCCTGTGCTGGCACGGGTGCGGAGCGGAGACAGACAGGCCTCTGGGACGGTGGGTAACTCTTACCGACGCCATTGGCTTACAGAGCAGCCCTGGGGCCGGAGAGCTCTCACAGGGCACTGCCTGTCGGGGGCCTCAGGGTCCCTCCGCTCTGGGTTCCCCAGTGACCGGGGCGCTTCTGTTCCATCTCCACGTCCTGCCTCCTCACCCTGTGCAGCGGCGGGCAGCGTGTCCTGGGGGCGTGTGGCCGTGGCCGTGGCCGTGGCCGTGGGCGGGCTGCTGGCGCCTCTGGCCGGGGCGTGTCCCGATCCAGGCCTGGGGGCCGGTCTGCAGGGGCTGCTGGCCCCACGGAGGCGGCTCCCGGCTGCCACTAACGAGCCCACGGCACTCGTGGCAGCCGCCCTCGGTAATTGGGCCCGCACGCCCAGGCTGCTGCCCTCATTAGGGGAGGGCTGTGCTGGGAAGGGAGGGGGCGGCTGCTTAATTAGGGAGGCCTGGCGCTCCTAATTGCTCGGGCTCTGAGTCAGCCAGCTCGAGGTTTAATTGCCAGTCGGGTTTCACCACTGATGGGAGGGGGGGGGCAAGGCTGCAGGGAGCACCTCAACACACACACACACACACACACCCCGAGGCCTGGATGGTGCTAGCACCGTGCGAGGGAAGCATAGGATTTTTTTCTGGTTTCCGACAAAAGGCGTCTGTGGCGTGGGTGCCGAGGAGGCGGCCCAGGAAGCGGTGGTCGCGGTGATGTGTGCCGAGCCCCGTGAGAGAGGATGAGGCGGCATGGCTCTCCGCTCTAAGCTGGTCCTCGGGGAAGTTCGGCTGCGGGAGGGGAGTTGTCCCTGCTCTGGACGGGGAGGGCTGGAGGGAAGGTGCAGGCAGACCGGGCCGGGCCCCACAGTCAGCCCGAGGCTCTGAGGAGGTGTGGGAGGGGACCCCAGCAGAAAGCTGGCAGCAGCCTGAGGGCCACTAACCCCATCCAGGGGCCCCAGCCTCATGGTCTCATGGAACGCTGACACCTCCCAAAGGCCCCACCTGGTGCCTGGCTAAGAAGTGTTTTATAGGCCGAAACCAGGACCAAGACCAAGGTTTGGCTCGGTGGATAGAGCGTTGGTCTGCGACTGAAGGGTCCCAGGTTCGATTCCGGTCAAGGGCATGTACCTTGGTTGTGGGCACATCCCCAGTAGGGGGTGTGCAGGAGGCAACTGATCAATGTTTGTCTCTCATCAATGTTTCTGGCTCTCTATCTCTCCCCCTTCCTTTGTAAAAAAATAAATTATATATATATATATAATATATATATATATAATATATATATATATATATATATATATATATATATATATATATATATATATTTTAAAGAACAAGTGTCCTATAGGCAGCAGAGCCATCAAAAAAAGGGGTTCTTATTCAGGAAGCAGTGGGTCTCTGGGGAGGTCAGGTCCAGAGGCAGACCAGGAGCGGGACTGGGAGAGGGCCTGTTGGATGCTCTGAAACAGGAAGCCAGGTGCACCCCAGAGGCACAGACGCAGCCACTCCTGAGTGCAGGCCGGAGGAGCAGGCCCGGGGCGCAGACGGAGCCCAGGGCACGGTTCTTTTAAAGCAGTGGTGGGTTTGCTTCCCAAGTCTCTCTGTCTCAGGCTGGGATTGAGTCCGGGTCCTCTCGGCAGGGGGACGCCAGGGTGGGGCTGGGCCTGTGCTCCTGAGATGCCCCTTGGTCTCTGATGTTCCTGTGATGCCGTGTACCCTTTATGGCCCCCGGGAGGGAGGCAGGCAAAAGACAGTGATTAGACCCATTTTCCAGGCGGAGAAACTGAGGCTCTGGGCGACGCCAGGGCCTCATATCTCAAGCCAGAACTTTGCTCACTCTTTGGGGGTAAAAAGAGCTGAAGGCTCATAGGAGACACCCCCCCCCCCAAAGGAAGGTGGTATTTGGTGCCAGCTTGCCAATTGAGTGCCAAGGCCATTGACTAAGCGCCTTTCGCCCTGGAGAAGGGATCGTCGGCCCTCGTGCTGACCACCCCCTGGCCGCCCCCTGGCCGCCCCTGAAGCAAACACCCCCCCCCCCAGGCTTGTCGCACCCCCAGGACACTGGGCGGGGCCTGGACACATCTGGGGGTTTGCTAGGGGTTTGTGTTTGCTGAGTGGTGGATGAGAGTCCCTGGGAGGCCGGCCGCCCCTCCTCGAGGGAGCACAGCGGTCTCCAGGCCTGGGCGGGCTCCTTCCGGAGGCAGCTGTCTGCGCCCCCTGGGCCCCTGGCCCCCCGGGTCTGGCCATTGTACATTCGTGAGGGAAGGCAGGCCGCAGGAAGCAGTGTTGGCAAATCCGTTTAGCAGCTGTTACCGGGAACGGCTGTTCTGTGCAGCCTCTTGTCCTGTTGCGGTAAATAACCGATAATGACATTTCCAGCCCGCCGTGTGGCCGGCCTCGCCTCGCCTCACCGCTGCGTCCTGCCCGCCCCACCTCGCAGGCCTGCCGTTCGTCATCGCTCTCCCACCGCCCGTCGCCCCGGCGCCTTCCCGCGAGGCCCTGTGCTGTCCGGGGACCCTGACTTGGGGTGGATGGAGCCTGAGGGTGGGGGTGGGCAGCAGGTGCCTCTCCTGCTGCTGGGGCAGTGGGGAGGGTAGGGGAGGGGGAGCCAGCTTCTCTTCAGAGGCTGCCCTGAGCCTCGGCCTCCAGACCAAGACAGAGCCAGGCCTTTCTCAGTCGCAGCTTGGGGGATCTTCCCTCACCAACGCTTCCCTCCGCCTTGTCATCCCCCTTCTGTAGAGGGGTGACTACCAGGTGACAGATGGAGAAACTGAGGCTGGGCGGGGTTATCATCTGCCCAGGAAGCACCTCTGCCGGGCTGAGCTTCCAGGCGCAGGCGGCGTGGGCTTGGCCCTGGGGGGGGGGGGGGGAGCGAGGCCGGAGCGCCCAGGGCCACGACTCGGCCTCCCCACCACTTCCGGCTGCCCCCGGGGAGTCTCCTGGGCCTTCCAGCTCGTTCCCTGGGCCTCTGCTGGTTCCTCTCGCTCAAGTAAGGTTTGATGGGGGCGCTCTGCCCGCCCCCTGAGGTCCTCAGAGGCTCCCGCTGCCCCCAGAATGAAGTCTGACCACCTCCACGCATGCCCCCGGCTCCCAGCCCATTCCCCGGTTAACGTCAATGACCCTCCTGGGCCGGGAGTTCTGGGGCTGAGGGTTGGGCCTCCCTGCACCTGCCCGACCATCCCGGCTCTCCTCAGAGCCCTCAGAGTCTGCTCTGCACACCGCCAGGGCCCCTAATTGCTCGTTAGTGATGCTGCTGCCGCCAGAATGTTCGGGAGCCTGAGGGTGTTTGTCTAGGCTGCTGTGTTTGCTCAAATAAAAAAATCCGTTCCAACGACAGGTCTTTCCTGGCTTTGAGGATAATGGGCTGTGTCCCAGGCCCCGAGGGGGTGTGGGGAAGGGAGGGGGTGTTTTCACACACACTGACCTCCCAAGAGTGACAGTGACCCTGGAAGTCAGCGAAGACAGTGCTGACCTCTGG